TCTCTCTCTCTCTCTCTCTCTCTCTCTCTCTCTCTCTCTCTCTCTTTCAATAAGCGCATGCAGATTGTGACTAGTGAATGGTGTAATGTATTTTGTTTCTTCCATCGAATGAAATCACAAGTGTAATTGTTCGGGGTCACTTTTACACGATTTGCAGCTTCCTTCATGCAACCGTGTTGTTCTTGCGGTGCATACGTAGGTAGGAGCTAACACTGGAGCAGCTTCTTCACGGAAGGCCGATCTGCTTTTGAATCTCTACTTGTATCAGTCTTACGATCACAAATATCAGCCAGGAAATGCGAGAAGAAATCAGATGTGCATGTGGATATGCATGTATATATGCAATGGACTACCATCTTGCACCTCCATGCACTGAGAAATTACATGTATCTACAATCAATCTTGGTCGTACAAAATCTTCGCGAGCCATCATATGACATTTGTTCTTTCTATAAATATGTTATTTTCAACTTTGATTTGAATAATTATAACGATATGATTAAATGAGGCTTCTAAAAGAATGACTGTGGTGGCACAAACGATTTCCTATTGAAGGCCAACAAGAAAACAAAGCCACATAGTAAGGTTATAGAGATTTTGTTTAGCTTGGGCTGTAGAGGGAATCTACCCCTCAGTTTCACCAGCAATTCACATATTGTAAGGTGATCAAACCAACAAGACACCTTTGTCAACATTGGATTATTGAGATTGTACTTTATGTTAGTATAATGTGTTATACTTGATATATATAATATATTCTTTATGAGTAAAGATAATATTTATATTTTGATAATACATAATTGGAAATAGGGAAATCATATCTTATATTAGTACCTACATCTAGGTCATATTATGTTGTACTACCCTGATGAGGCAAAGTTGGGGACCCTTCCTTCTATGCTAATTTGGCTTCAGTCAAAATTCATTTAGGAATCTTTTACAAGTACCAAATCAGAAGGTAGGCTTCCATCCACCAAATAATGAAGCAAGAAAAAGAACTCCAAGATTTATGTTCATATTGTTCTTTCTTAGAGTGTTTACCCTTCTTATTTTCTTAAAAGAGTAATTCGTCCTAAATAACATCTAAATTGTCATATTGATCTGATATCGAACTCATTAATTTGCGAGACTTCCATGGTACTTATTGGTATGAATTTGCCAAAGAAATCGACTGTATGTTCCATTATCAAATGAACTGTTCTCTCGGCCTACACACATGCTTGCCACAGTGCTTTCTTGGCATACTTCCATCTCTTGGAAGTACGTATTAGATTTAAGGTGCAAGGAATTTGTCGATTGAATCATTGGATTAGTAATTAGCAACAAAAATGCAATCCAACTATAAAAGTATTTCTGTCAGTAATCATCAAGATATTTACTAAGTGATTTGATTTCGTCCCATGAAGACCATAATTGCTGTTCATGTGCAGTGCATGCATGAATGTTGTGGCCATATTATATGTGGTGTCCAATCCAGCCTGACCCACTGATGAGTAAGTTTTAACTACCATGGTCCCAACCTAACCCTAGCTTGTCTGGTGGCAAGTTTCCTTCTTCATCTCAAAGAGATTCTGAAATACCTTTTTTTATAGAAAAAATAAAAAAAAAATCTTGAAAGAAATGGATCTTTTAAAGTAGATAGGGGATCCCAGGAATATGATATTACAATCAATAATGAATAGATAAGACTCGATCAATAATTAGATCAGGTGGGTGTTAGCTTAAAATAATAATACGAGGAATATTTCGCCCATTTCTCGAAAATAATAAGGTGTAAAATATTTCATTCGTACATTGGTTAACTTATTTTAAAATACTATTTAGGATTATAATCTAGATCAATTATTATTTCTTAAAATTATTTTACCCTTCATCGACGATTGATGCCTCGGAGGGACTATGTCGAAAACCTCGTCTACTTTCGATCTTCGTATAGATCGATCGTGGGACAATCGTCCAAACTCATATTAACCCTAAATCCAAATAAATGTTCGAATTTTTTCTTCGATCACATTAAATTTTTTATACATACGGATCCGAATCAACTTGACCAAATCCAAATGTTATCAATTTAATCCCTATGCAGGTTTCTTCTGATGAAGCACACTTCCTAAGAACCCAAATCATACTCTTCTTCAACCACCGAAAGAGTAGAAGCGGATAGCAAACATGTGCGTGCATGCAGATTGGTAGACAGCCATGCAATTTGGCGGGCCAAGTACGTGCGTGCATGCAACCCTACACATGTGAGTTACAGCACACTATAGCGATCCTCCACACTGCTTCACGTGAATTTTAGGCTCATGTCACCTTCATGTTCCACCCAACCTACTCATCTTAATTGTTATGTATCATTTCATCTGATATATGAGGCTAAAAGAATACCATTGCATGGCCAACTTAATCGATTCATTTGAGCAAATGTCATATCATTCTTCCAAGTGTGCAATTCAGATGTCAAATTTGTCCCTCGGATTGTTGATAGCATTATTCACGAACCTTATTCTTCCACCCACTCACTGGTACACTTGCCAATCCCTGGTTTACGCGTTCAAGGATTAAGTCGGAAGCTAACACATGAGATAAAGCTCATGTCAGGTTCCTCTACTGCGTGCAAGAAGCCTAATTCAAGTTGGCTTGGGTATCTGCGAAAGTGGAAGACGATCCTAAAACGTTAGGTAAGCTATCAGATCCCTCAATCATTTATCGTCCTTGACATATGAAAGACGTGTCGTGGTCACTGGTTAATCTCTCTCTCTCTCTCTCTCTCTCTCTGCCTTTTGCTTAGTATGAAAGATTGAAACATACATGAAAAGGACTGGAGGAGGTGTGGTGTTCCCTTTGATACCATTTCATTTGACGATGTTCAGTAACTTGTGTTCAGTGCATTATTGTCCATACAGTAAGGGCTGTCTTCATTCCACATTTGTATGAGCAATGGAGGGATGTGATGTCACATTATGATCATGCTTCAAGTGATGAAAATGACACATCATGTCGGCAACATTATATTATATTATATTATATATATATATATAATTAATGAATATTACCTTTTGAATTCTTTGGCCTGCAAAAGACTGGTTAAGGAAACCATGTGCACTGAGGCCACAAATCTCAAAGAAATGGTCCTTAGAAGTACCCCAACTCCAACCGAGGAGGACAACTCTCATGCCTTCCAAGGATGTTTCCCTGAGATCATACTAAACTATCAGCAATTTGCTGTTTGTTGGACTCTGATCACACAAAACAATGGCTGAAGAGATCCTTTGTTCCGGAAAAGACAAACATCCCCCTCCAAAACCCAATAGCTGCTGAATCAACAATTTGATCGATCTTGGAGTCCTCCTTTTATTTTCTGGGTTTTGGAAGAAGGTAAGAAGATACTGGACTTGATTCTGGAACAGGAGAAACAAATCATTTCCCACCGATCATAGATCTATCTATGTTGCCACCTTTGGTTGCTTGGAGGCAAATAGTAGATCGACCTCGACTTAGGTGATTAGTCTTGAGACTATCACTTTTTTTCTAAGGGTATAATTGCATGCATTGATAGAAGTCTCGTTTCGACTACCATCTCTCCCTAATTTATGTTTCATTATATTTGCGATATTCATACAAACTCAAATTCCTATCGACAAAAATATCGACATATTGTTGGGCCTTGATGGATTTGGATTGGGCCGGGCATCAAGAATGAAAGACACATAATTATTACGATAATACTAATTTGTAGCTCTTTTCCGGGGAAACTCAAGTCTCATGTCGCAACTTAAGCTGCGAATGGGCAGTCCAAGGTGGTTTGAGTTCTTGTTGTGTAACAAGGCGGCGACAAAAGATGCAGAGGAGGATGTTCTACGTATCTGGGGAGGGGGGAGGGAAGGGGTGACGGACCACGCTGCATTGCAGGCGGCGACAAGCAATGCAAAGGGGGATGTTCTCAGAAATTTGGAATGCATAATGTCCTATATGCAATGATCGAGAGAAAACTGAATGACAAATGTAATATATACCTGTAAACATAGGGTTGAGAGCATATAAACTTGCTAGAAAATGCATTTACACTCATTTAACAGTGAGTTACGAGCATGAATGTACTGTATGCATTCATGCTTTCTGTCTACTGGTAGCGTTATTCCAAAAGAAACCTAAAAGAAAAGGTAATGTCACAACTTACCATGGTAGATGGAAGAGAGCTTCTCTATTACTTTATCATTATCTGCGTTGCAGTCATAAGAGAGCAAGCCATTGCAAACAGATGACGAAGTGCGAGTAGCCTTCGTAATCCAACTGATGTCAATGGCTTACGTTTGGACATGCACAGACGGAAGTTTCTGCTAAACCACTAGTTCTCACTGTTGCTGAAGAGCTCACCAACTTGTAAGGACGGTACGGTCTCAGTTATGGGATGGGGGATGCGTCCTCGGTCCCACGTAATCCACATCAAACCCTGGGCGCTCCCTTCGTCCACGTCGAGGCACAGGCAGTGAAGACATGACCAGCGAAGGGATCTGAGCTGCACCTGATGCGATTTCTGTCTTCCCCTTGGCGTCCTGTGCTTGAGCGTCTGATCCATTTAGCCCTCCCAAAGCTGCAGCCCTGTTCGAGAAGTAATGACGCTGCGTCTCCGGGGACGAACCACTATCATCGAGCCTCACCTTTCTCATGTCCTGCACAACCGATAGAACCGATCTTTTCAGACGGAAGTGTGTGATGGAATTGCATGCACCAACCTTTCTCGAGTGGCTAAATGCTGTGTTTGAACTCTTAGCACGCCCCGTAAGATCGAGGGCATCGCATGCATTCATGGGATAACCTAACAGGAGAACTAAGAGAAGAAGAGGAGACATGTTTGGATCTATGTGAAGAGAGAGGCGATTTCGCAAGACAGTGAAGTGGGAGTGCTTCCTTTAAGAATGCGTCGGTCGAGAGATTCAAGTGGTAAGAGGAGAGATGGGGGGATTTGGGAGGGTAGACTCCCTTTGTCTGCCCTTTTCTCTATTCTTTCAATAGATAAAACCATAGAAAATGATTTTGAAAGGGGTGCAACAAAGTGAAGAGTGATCAAGTATAAAACACTGGATGAACTTGGATATGGGGATTTGTGTTGACTTGGCTGTACCAAAGATCAACATACATTCTCTTTCTTGGACCACAGAAAGTTTTGATGAGTTGAAAGCTGAATGTGTAACCTTCTTTCCTTTTTCTATCTTTTAGTTTCTGAGAACTTGCGAAATAGCTTAAGTGAATTCAGATGCTGAAATCTTTTCCAAAGTTGAAGGCACAGAAGCCTCCATGAGGTGGTCAAGATCATAAATGAGGAATGCTAATCAAGGACTTTCAACTCTCATTTGCAGCAGTCCACTGACTCTGCAAGTGATTCCCTTGTGTTCAGACTGTTACATTGAATGTTTCAGCCATATAAACCCCATCAAATGGATGCATAGGGTTAGGAACCAAGAAACAGTGATGGGGAAAGACTGAGCGAGCTTAGGAGGGGGCCCACAAGAAGACGTCCGGCATCTTTTATCGAGTGGGACCTACGTGCTCTCCCGACCAGGGGGAGTGGGTGAACTGTTGGGTCACGGGTGAGCGGGCGACAGTCGATGGAAGGAAGGCGCGGGGAACGGAGAGAGAAGGTGGTCGATACCGAGGTAGGAATCGGGATTCGAGGTCGAGTCGACCCGGGCCGTGTCGAGTAAAAAAGCGCCCGCGCTGAATCGCGTGCGCCTCGACCCGTGGGGCGCGCCGCGCCCGGCTCCGTTGTCTCGACGGCGTTAATCCTTGCCATTATATCCCGTCAGCCTCTTAACGCCACGTCTCCCTTCTCTCTTTCTTTCTTGATTATATATATATATATATATATAGAGGTACAATCTTACACATTAGCGTTCATGTCGAATTGGGCTTATATGCTTCAATGTTAGCATCCGTATTAGGCCCCAACGTGCCTTTATATCGGCAAACACCGGTTCTGTGCTTAAGGACTTCAGATCACAGGCCCATGAACATGAACCAATATTGTTTAAGAACACAAAAATGATCTGAGGTATTGATAGATTGATGATGGAGAAGTAAACGACTATGCAGGATATTTTCCTATATATATATTATCATTAGCTAATGTTGCTAATGTTTTCTTTTGGGGAAAAGAAAATCAAAATAGAAGTATTCTTGGTAACATTTCAAGGATAAAATCATCATACTCCAATTAAATCAAACTTTATTAGCGACGTATATATATATATATATATATGTCATTTAAAAAACCAAATAAATAAACATTACAGATATGACAAAAAAAAGAAGCTTTTTCTTCAGTCTAAAAGAACAAAAGCTTTTTTAGAAAGTGCAAAGTTCCACTAAATCCTCGGTGGTTATGGGACCAGCATTGGGCCCACAGCTTCAGCCAGTTACGAGGAAGGTAGAGAACATGTTGGTTCTTTTCTTATTCCTATAGGGCAGCCGCTGGACCGTTGGATCGCGTCGCGGGAAAGGTGAGGACCGCACGTCGAGAGCCGCGACATTCCTGCGGCGTACTTTGTTTCGTTGTACCCCAGTGCGTACCAGCGTCGTCATCGATAAAGATGTCGGGCCAAGTCGGGTGGAAACGTGGGGACACGAATCTAGAGCTGCGTTATGCCGACTAATCGGTCAATCAGGGCCGTCCAAAGTCTTGGGACGACCCTCCACATCGGTTGGATCGCCGTTTCCGCCGAGCCACACACACCCCATTGGCTGGCGGCACCTTCGATAAGCCGGGCCCCGCAGATCCAACGGCCTCGATCTCTGCGCCACACGGTGCCCACGGGAGCGGCTCACCCACGTCGTCCCCGAACACCAAACAACCGCCAACTTGGCGTCCGCTCGTCACAAACCAATCACGGAAAGCCGTGTAGGGAAGCAATGGCTGGCCGCTGTTCTGTCTCCGTAGCTGATCCGACCAAAGGACGAACCCTACACGGAAACGCAACAGTTTGGGCTCAGATCCAGACCGTACAATGCGACAGGCCGAAATGTTCGTAATGCCACTGCACGTTGACCGAAAGGACCTTTTGGCAAGATGACTCGGTGGAGAACAATAATTTACCCATCCGCTTGCGGCGTACCCGTCTTGCCTCCTGTTTTATGATTGGAAGATGCCGCGGGACCCACTTGCATAGCCGTGGCAGTAGCCGGGCGTGAAACCGAACGTGTAGAAGATGAGCTTTCGATCGACGCTATCTAGATTTGAACCGTTACAACACGTATCGTATCGGCTCAAGATGTGTCGTATCGATGAAGGTGCCGTGTCTCGGCAACTTTTAATCCCGTAAAGGGCACAAAAAGTGGGGTCGTATCAAAGGACGGAAACAGCCTCCAAAATCAATGGTGTCTTTGCGATGGCTCTGAGGGCATTTTGGACTAAAAGAGAGATGATGCTGACCATTTTCTTCATGGGAGTAACCAGCTACATGCTTACAGCATCGATTGTGGAGTGGTGTGAGAAACGAGGAGAGGAGGAAGGAGGCAAAGGGAGCCAGAGGAGAGAGAAGGTTGGGGCTCACTTTCATTTACTCTTTTTAGTGTTGCACGCATCCGTGGCAGAAGCGGTGAAGAAAGCAAACGCAGAACAAGGGGAAGAGGAAAGAGAGAGTGGAGATTTTGAGAAGAGTACAGGGAACTCCCGCTGCTTCCCCCGCTCCTCCCGCTCCTCCCGCTCTCTCTCCCAACCCAACCCAACCAGGCAGTCACAGCCCATTCAAAGATAAAAGAGAAGCTTTGAAACAGAAGTAGGACAGTAGAGAAGAAAGAAGAAGGAAAGGAAAATATAAGTGTAGAAGAAAAGTTGAGAAAGATGGGAGGAGGCAGAGGAGAAGGAAGAACTCCTGAAGCTTAATTTGCATGCGCCCGTTGTATTATTGTCCCATTTTGTAGACTTGTAGACAGAGGAAGCCGAACAAAGTTGAGATCTCCCCTTTGTCCACCTTCTACTGTTTCAGCTTTCAAGAACTTTGTTTTTATCTCTTGGGGTAAAGTAACAAAGGACTTGCGTCTGGATTCTTGCATTAGATGAGGGGTCTGCCCTATCATGGCCAGGGGAAGGGGGTTTTAGAAGCAGCTGAGACAATATTAGAAGGAAAGCAAGCTCTTTTCTGGGTCAATAAGAGTCCAAAGTTGGCGATCCCAGAGGTAGCGGAGCCAGGATCGGTGCTTGATCACAGGAGCCCCAGCTCTCCCACCTCCACCGTCACACTGTCTTCTTCCTTGGGCAGCAGCGGCTCCTCCAACACCGCCGGAGTGGCGGTGGTCTCCGAAAACCCCGCCAACAAATGGCCCTTCTCCGACTCTGGCAGCGGTGCGTTCGGGACGGAGGACTGGGAGGCTGAGCTGCAGCTGATACCAGCCCAGCTCGACACGGGCTTCGTTGCGGGAGGTGAAAGGTGCGGTCTTGGAGTCGAAGACTGGGAGGCGATGCTTACGGAGACTTCGGCGGCCTCCCCCGACCGGGAGCAGACTTCTCTTCGGTGGATCATCGGCGACGTCGTCGACCACTCTGCGGCCGGGCTTAAGCAGCAACAGCAGCAGGTGCTCTTCTCCCAAGGGCTGGTGGATTTCAATGGCAGCAATGACGGCTTGGGGTTCGGGATTCTCGACCCGGGAATTGGGCTTGAATCTTTTGGAAGGATCGTGGACGAGCTTTCCGTCTCGGCTTCCATCGGCAGCCTTCCTCCTTTGGCTTCTAACGTAATTACTGGTGGTAGCTTCTTGCTCGAGAGCAGTAACAGCTGGGTGTCTCCGCCCTCGGAGAGCGCCGGCGTCAAAGGGGCCACCTTTGGCCACCAAACCGGTAGTCAGCTCTTCTCGCCACTGCCGCTGGCAGACAACAGCATCTCGCAGCCGCTCTGTCTACCGCCAGGCTCGTACTTGACGGATACCATGGAGGACAAGCCGCAGTTGTCTGGCGCAGGCCTTCTTCTGACCCAGCCATTGGCCACCCCGAGCCCGTCCTTCTTCCTCAGTGCGGGGGAGGTGGAGCACCAGCAGCTGCCGCACCTCCTAGTTCCCACCCAGCCGAAGCGCCTTCATTCGATCGTTGACCATGTTCCGCCGAAACTTCCCTTTCTGGAGCCTGGGGGCACTTCGGACCTCTTAATCCATCGACAGCAGTCATGCCCGCAACAGCAGCAAAGCACAAGCTTTACGCTGCCTCATCCCCAGGAAAGGTTGGGGAAACCGAAGGTGGCAGCTCTTGGGGACGATGCTTCGGCAGCAATGGCCGCTCAGCAGCAGCAGCATCATCATCAGCTACAACATGCATTGGTTGACCTGCTTTTCGAGGCTGCAAGGATGGTCGAGGCGATGAATTTTGTTGGCGCCCATGGGATATTGGCACGGCTCAATCACCAGCTCCCCTCTCCCGTGGGGAAGCCCCTTATCCGCTCTGCTTTTTACTTCAAGGAGGCATTGCAGCTATTCCTCTCGAATAGATCGAATCCCCTCCATCGGCAGAGTCAGTTCTCGTCTCATCCCCTCACGACTCAATGGGACATTGTGCAGAAGCTCAGTGCTTACAAGGCCTTCTCCGAGGTCTCTCCCATCATTCAATTCTCTAATTTTACCTGCATCCAAGCCCTCCTCGAGGAGCTCAGTGGCTCTGACCGTATCCATATCATCGATTTCGACATCGGTTTTGGCGGACAATGGTCCTCCTTCATGCAGGAGCTGGCCCAGAGGCGCAGTTCGGTGGCAGGTTCAGTGTGGCTACTTAAAATCACAGTTTTGGCCTCAGGTTACTCCCAAAACGACTTGGAGCTCCAACTCATCCGGGAGAATCTCTCCCATTTTGCAAGTGACCTTAACATTCCCTTTGAATTTAACGTCCATTGCCTGGATTCTTTTGATCCCTCGAAGCTCCTTGGCATGGGAGGTGAAGCCGTTGCTGTAAACCTCCCTGTAGCTTCTGCAAACCTTTCTTCCATGGTTCTCCTCTGCCTTGTGAAGCAACTCTCCCCGAAGATTGTGGTCTCAGTTGACCAAGGGTGCGAACCGAGTGGCCTTCCATTCTTGCAGTACTTCCTTCATGCTTTTCAGTCCTCCATGGTACTTATGGAGTCCATTGATGCATCCGGAACTGACCAAGATATGATTAGCAAGATCGAAAGGTTTCTGCTACAGCCAAGGATTGAGAGTTCTATTCTTCGGCGGCACCGGGTGGATGACAAGATGGTTTCCTGGCTAGCACACTTTGCAACCACAGGGTTTGTGCCCATTCGATTCAGCAATTTTACAGAGACACAGGCTGAATGTCTTCTGAAGAGGGTGTCGATCAAAGGATTTCATGTGGAGAAGCGCCAGGCCTCTCTCTTCCTTTGTTGGCAACATAACGAGCTTGTCTCTGTATCAGCTTGGAGGTGCTGAAGAGCTGCTGCCTCACAGGCATGTAATCCTTGTACCTGTCCTTGCAAAGTTCTGGCAATCATTGGCACTTAGGTATTCGTGCTTTGCTGGGTCTAGATGTTGCAGCAACATAATTTTCTACGGCAGTAATCACTTTTGGTGTTATAATGGTCTCAACTAATCTTACCTCACGATTCATCTGGTTTTGGTGGCATTTGTTCCCTAGTAAAATGACATTGGCACATTTGATGTCGATTGGAGTTTTTATGTTTTTGTTTCTGATCATGATATTCAGATGATTATGGCCTAATTATTTGTCATCTTATTCAGATATGATAGCAATATCAGGATATGGATCTTAGTTTTTGTTATATATTTTCTTCATAAGAGGAATTGTCATTATGCATTTAATTTTTCTGCGATTACTCTGTGACATGTGGTAATATTTAGAGCATCAGCTTCGTCATAATTGATCGACATGTTGAGGACATGTTGTGAGGTTCTGGTAGATATAAGCTATCATGATAGATGGCCAAATTGGTTGAGATAATACTCAAAGATCATTGTCTATCAGCCTAAGCAAAAAATGAGACGCACATGGATGAAGGCAAAACGGAGAATGAGTGCAAAGTTATTTCTGATGATACTCAAGTATCATTAACATCATCTTTTTATGTGATTCTTATTTATAAGAGTACATTCATTTAACACACCAAAAGAAAGGAGTGTGAATGTCATCTCTCCTGTTTATTACTGTTATTCGGCATTAGAGAGAATTGATCTTCTTTAGAGTAAAGTTTTTGACAGAAGTTTGGATCATGATTCTGCAGGGGTGGTCTATAATGTTTAGGTTATTACATTGTATCGGTAGTTGGACTTGTAATGAGCTGTATATAAGAGTTTTTTTTTTGCTTCATCAATTCTTTATTCCATTGCTTTTTTTATTTATATTCTTGACTTCAAGAGATTCCCTTAGGGTCTTTTGGTGTGGATTTTTTTTTTTCCATCTAATACTCAAGGAATCACAGACTGGTGAGCAAATTAGCCAAAATTGGTGAACCATCCTGATCAGATTTCACAACACAGCTGCTCCTACGATTTCAGCTAAAACAATGCAATTGAAATTTGATTCCTATCATTCCATGTAAAGTAGGGCTTACTCGATATAGCATCTCTTACAGTGTATATTTATTATTACCTTCATAGTTCCATGGTTTCTTCAAATTGTTTCGGCACCATAAAATCATTAATTTTATGGTTCTGATTTCATCTCTTACTACTGCTGGTTTCATTCATTGAACTATAAACACTTAGCATCTTATGTATACTTATGAATACACACCAAGTAGAAACACTAAATATCTTTCAAGTTGATGTTCAAATTGTTATACATGTTTTTATTTGTTGTGTAAAGATTACTGAACTCCAATCCAAATTATTTCTACAGGTTATACTCAACTGAAACATGAAGCATATTTGCTGCCAAAATTTATTGTCTCTAATTGGTCTAGTTTGTAAAATTAAATGACATTGAAAACACACAATACCTAATTTTGGCATTCTAGAGCATCTATCGAAGAATTCAGGATGCAAAAGTATCATCAATGAACCATAAGTAGAGTTGTCAAAGTTTTGTTAGGTCCTATGTTCAAACCAGTTTATGATACTGACTTCCACATATACCTTGATTGATTATGCTGTAGAGAATGTGATATTTTTCCGGTGCATCTGCCCCTTTCAAGCATATGCAACAAGTGATTAGGATATCGAATCAAGTGCATGCTTGTCAGAAATGCAATCTTGTTTACACGTTTCAGTCAACAAGTTCTATTGTAGTTTCTCTTGTCATTCTTGCAAAAAGTGGCCATCTTGGCTTTTGTTTTCACAGCTGGTATTTTGTCTATTCTCATTGTTTGTGTGACCGTCTTCTTGCACCCTCAATTTGTTAGATCCAAATAGCACAACACCTCCATGATCGTGTGCCTGCACATGGTCAATGTAGTCTATTATTAGACGACAGTGGCTGCCGGGTCCAAAGCTCATGTCTTCATGCAGTAATGGCAGATACAGTCATGCGGCTCACATGGTTAATGTGGTCTATTAGATGACGGTGGCCGCCGAGGCCAAAGCTCATGTCTTCATGCGGTAATGGCAGATACAGTCTTGCTTTCTATGTAATGATTCTTTGCTTGCAGGGCTAACACCAGACAAAGCTGCCTAATCATCGTTCATTACATTAATTAAAGCTTTCCTTGCTGATCTATCACATGGTCACTCTATCGTCCCACATGATACACAAGGTACATTCTTTCTTTGAGCAACTCTTGTCCTCTTTAGTATTGCTCAGGTCCTCCTGTTCCTCCGGTAATCAAAAAGCTAGTTTTGAAGGACTAAACGGACACAAGTTTTCTATCTGGAATGGAGCGGAGCTTTGTCTTCCCCGTTGCTGCGATACGAGTTATGTTGTCACCATGGACTCATCTTGAATGTGTTTTGTTGTCATCCTTGTTTTATGTTTCAGTGCACACTTCTACTCTCTGTTGTCACCATGGACTCATCTTGAATGTGTTTTGTTGTCATCCTTGTTTTATGTTTCAGTGCACACTTCTACTCTCTGTTGTCACAATGGACTCATCTTGATTGTGTTTTGTTGTCATCCTTGTTTTATGTTTCAGTGCACACTTCTACTCTCTGTTTCCATCTCCACATCCCATTGAGGTCTGAAGCTTTTTCCAGTGGTGGACAAACTGGCCAGAACAAGGTACCAAGCCAGGGGTGTTTCCAGTGGTGCAAAGGTGACTGATGATGTGGTACACATTGCTAAATGTCTCAGCTGATTCATGCAATGGGGACAAGTTGTGCTGTGGATGGTGACAATACTTTTGTTGATGCTGCAAGCTGATGAATCATTTTCTAGGGAAGAAGAACCACTCTGTCATGCACAGAAACCTACTCACTTCTCTGACTTAATGTTTGTGGTTGAGGAATTAAACCTTCCCATGGACTCCTTGCGTCACAGGTGAGGTGGTTGTCCATTGCAGTAAAGCTATAACATAGGGTAATGCCTTAGCATTTATTTCTAAGAATCATTTTATATTTTCTTCTCGTGATCTTTCTAAGACACCCCCATCAAGGTTTAATCTTAATCCATCCCGATAGAAGATAAGATTTTCTCAACTACGAGGAAATCTCTCTATTTTGTTAAAGGAATTTTTTTTCTCCTAATCTGTATAAATAAGAGAGGAACATATTAATGTATTTAAGTTAAAGTTACTTCAATAATTTTTTTTAATAATCATTTTTATCTTTTATTATTTTCATCATGATATCAGAGCAGTGAGAAAAGTAAAGTTTCGCCCTTACCTTCGACTAGCGACCAACGTCGTTGCAGCGGACTTAAGGGGAACGAAAGGAACGCTTGTGCCCTCATAGCAACAACAATCACAACAGTAGCAGTGATCTGCTCTCTACTCACGAAGTCTCTCGCTCGTAAACTATTCTTTGCATCGATCCAAGATAATCTTTCCTCCTAATCTGTATAAATAGGAGAGGGACATGTTAATGTATTTAAGTTAAAGTTACTTCAATAAAGCTTCTTTAATAATTATTCTTTATCTTCTATTATTTTCATCGTATCTTATGAGGAAATGAAATGGAATGTGGATAACATATGGAAAAGAGCGTATCTATACCAATTTATATTATTTGATATCAATCACTATAATAATGGATTGATACATATCGGCATCAAATTATATGGTCTGATATTTTTATAAATATTCATTTGTATGTATAGAATCGATATATATTTTAAATCTCCATAAACATCTTTCTCTCCTCGTGAAATGTTTGGGGTTTGGTAATTATATTCTTTGTGAGTTATGAACTTACATAGATATATTAAAAATTTTGAAATAGATGTATAGCTAAAAAATAACTTTTGACCTTTATGATAAGGGAATTCACACGTGGATATCGTAAGTGCTATATCTCCAACTTGATACTTATTCTAAAATACTCACCCCAATAGTTAGATATTCTTAGTATTCTGATTTCTAGATTTAAAAAAATTATATTAAATTTTTTATAATTATGAAAGTAAAATATTTACATCTATTTATCCGAATATTATTGATTTTATCGATAGACATAAACATGAAAATAATAAACATAAAGATAATTTTAATATTCCAATTGGTTGTAGCGAATAGTGTCGATGGTGACAGATGACGACGACACCACTAAGGGCCGCGAGTGATTATTGTAAATGAGGAGAGGGATGACGAGAGATGAGGATTGCTCTATATCTTCATCGATGTCAACACAGTTGTTAAACGACGAAAAGATAACTTGGTATTTGCATCAATAGCCATTTTGCCACTCGACAATTATGTCGACGCTGATACAAATGTGGAGCGGTGAAAGAGTCGCTCGATAATTGCATCAATGTCGATGCAGTTTTAAAGTGACTCTCGTCTCTCACCATCATTCTCCTCGTCCGCAACAACTACTCACGACCCTAGCAACGCCATCATTCATCATTATCGATATCAATATTATTTATCACTATCAATTAGAATGTTAAAATTATCTTTTATTTATTATTTTTATATTTTCATAGGTAAAATTGACTATATTCTAGATATTTTATTTTTATAATTATATAGATTTTAATATATTTTTTTAATTATAAGACTAAAGCCTACAAATTACCCCTGACAAGTATTTTGTACGCTGTTGTACCTTCAAAGACTATATAAACTATTTTTTTTATTAACTCTTCGAACCATCCAAACCTTTTATTACTCAACTATTTTTTTTAACAGTAACTTAAATTGTAACATCCCATTAATCTTACATCGGAAGTGGGTAATATGTAATTGATTTATATGGGTCTGATAAGTGTACTGCATTAACTCCTACATATTTTAATAGTACGAATCAATCATCTCTCAATACCAATGACAGACTTTGATGATAATCAAGAATGATTACATGAATCAATACATTAGATAATCAGAATCATAGCTGCAACTCGATGTTCATTTTTAAGAAATAAACACTAAATTGTGCACCATATATTGTTTGATGCACAA